TCTCCAGTAGCTGTGCCGGCTGCCTTGATGTTTCTCGCCAGCTTTTGCCTCTCCCTGTTTTTTCTCTCCCCCCTCCTGCAATGTAGCATTGCCTTTCTCCATCTGCCCGATAGTCTCTCTGCTTTTTATCTGGGTGCTGGAGCTCCAGGTGCTGTCATTCTCTGCGACAGCACAGAACGTTTCGCATTGCCTCTGCGGCTGGATAATTACCAGATACTGAGTCACGTGGACTACCCAGCCAAACCCTCCCTCCCCTCCTGTCAGAGAGGAGATCACATCTCGGAAATACATTTCCTTTTTATTATTATTATTATTATTGTTTTTAAGAAGAAAACCAAGGGAAAGTTTGGAAGTTGCTCTTCTGGAACGACCTAGTGGTGAGCACATGAACGTTATCAACAAGGCAGTGGCGGCTCAGGTAGAAGGAATACTTCATCTCCAATACTGAATTTTGTGAAGGAAGGTAAAGGGGATGATAGTCCATAGGGGCAACTTATTAGTCACTCCCAGGCCCAGTCTTGGTGTATTCCTGAGGCAGAAAAAGATTATAATAGTACAGAGACTCTTGAGTTGATGCTTAGTTTCAGGTCCTTCTACAAATTCAGTGTAAAAGCCAATATCCAGTTCCCAGAAGAGACTAATTGTCTTTCAGTGAGCTTCAGTTCCTAAGCGACTGCAGGTGCTTTTTAAATGCCAGCTCATGTCCTGCTGATGGTAAAAGCACAGCATCCTTGGCGTAAGTGAAGCGAAACCCAAAGACAGATCCTCTGGCAGTGTTCCCCATTGCCATCCTGCATCATCTCTGTTATTCCCTGGTTTCCCCTTTTGAAAGTGCAGAGGTCCCAGTGATGCTACGAGAAGCTGCAGACAAGCCAAGTGAGGCGTACACTCACGGCTGGATGAGGCTGTGTGATCAGTAGCTGATTAGCGTCACCTAATCATGCTTCGTCGAGATCAGAATCAGGTTTCTGACTGTACTTAAAAGGGACACCAACAAGTCCCAAAAGGGAAAAGGAGGGAGCTCGTGGGCTTTCCTCAGCAGTCTTATCCTCCCATCTGATCCCACTGCAAGACCCTGATGGAAGCCTTAGGAGCTTTATTTGGAAATCTGAAATGTACTGGGTCTGGCTAGGATGGAGTTAACTTTCTTCATAGCAGCTCGTACTGATATCATTAAAAGGTACCTCTGCTTGAATGGATGTGGACTAGAGCTGTTTATGCAGGTATACTGATCCCCAGAAGATGGGAAGAGCTATAAATCAAGCCAGTATAAGTTCTCTTGTTCTGGTATAGTTACATCCACCCCAGGAGAGTACTGGCATAACAATTACTGTAATTTTGGGTTTGATATTTTTTTTCTATACAGAAAACAGAAACCTATGCTCTTAAGAAGTCATTTTAACATAAAGAAAACCCATGGGAAGCCAGCTGTGTGTCTGCTAGTGAGAGCCCATGCAGCTCTCATTTTTAGGCTGGAATATTTTTGGCGAATTCCCTTGGATTTCATTTTCCGTCCGTATCGAATGGAGAGATGAGGATGCTCACAGCACATGAGCAGTTCTGCACTGATAGTCATATTCGCTGGTTGCAATCCTTTTTGCTTTCATTAAAAACAGTTGATGTTAGGGAGAGCGAGATAGGAACGTTTCTGTACAAGGCACTGGGGAGACCTCATCTAGAAAGTTGGGTATGAATTCTGGTCACGGCAGAGGAGTTCAGACTGAAGCAGGTGTGGAGAAGGGCTACTGGGATGTTTAGGGCAATGGAGAGTCTATCATACAAGAAGAAACTAGAAGAGTCTGGCTTGTTGAGCCCAGCAAAATGAAGGCTGAGAGGGAATATGATTGCTCTCAGTGAACACACTGGAAGATAAGCACCCAGGAGAGAGAAAAGTTATTTAAGCTAAAGGATGGTGTTGGCATGAGAGGAAATGGATATAATCCAGCCATGAATAAATCTAGTCTTAAAATTAGAAAAAGAGAAAGAAAAAAAAAAAAAAAGGTTTCTAATCAGCAGAGCAGAAAGACTTTGGGCTCCCTGCCATGCCAAGCATTGGAGAGGGCACTCATGCAGTTCAGATGGAGAGTGAGCAGTGGTGCAGGGACCAGAATTGTTGTGAGTGAGTGGTGAGGGGTTAGGGTTAGGGTAGGGTTAGGGTTAGGTTTAGGGTTAGGGTTAGGGTTAGGGTAGGGTTAGGGTTAGGGTGAGCTTTGGAATTGCTTTTAGCTGATGAGTGTTAGCATTTCTCCTAGCAGTGCTAGTGGAGCTGGTCCTGGCTTTGTAAATAAATGTCTGCAGTCAGGAGCAACAGAGCACATCTCCTCTGGAGAAAATGAGCCAGGTAAGATTTTCTTGCATCATGTGTCTAGTTTTTCCTATAGTTAGAGGTGACATTTCTGGCTGAAGATCCCAAAGCACTTTCCTGGGGTAAAGGCATTATCCTTCCCTTTTCTACTGTGAAATTGCCCAAGACCGTTTTCAGTATTGTGGAAATGGTGACTGAGATGTGTGTGAGGATGTCCAGGTGCCTTTCTCCAGTTCCAGTTTCCAGTTGTCCATTCCTGGATGGATCTTACACGATTGTCAGGCATTGAGTGAGGAAAGGAAAGAAATTAGTAGCAGCTAGAAATGGCGCAGTAGCTAAAAATCATGAAGGAGCCACATCATATTGTACTGTTTGTTTTATTTTGTTTTATTTTTAGTTAAGTTTTTGGGGGCGTTTTTTTTTTTTTTTTTTTTTTCTTTTTTTTTTTTTTTAATGAGATAGCAAAGAGGCTAAAGAGGCACAGCAGCAAGTTTTCTTTTCCTTCTCTGTGTATGGATTGAACTGATGGTAAAATCAATAGTTCCTAAGTCCCTGTAGTGATTGTCCAAGACGTGACCATCACCGCTCGCCGCCCTTCTCAGTAGCTACATCAGGAGATGTCAAGAAATTAAACCCGAAACCACAAGGAAAAGCTGAATGGATGGATCACAAATAGTTTATTAGCACTCACTAGCACTGATGGTAATGCTTTCAATAAGCCTAATGAAAAGCGTTTGACTATCTCAGTGAACTTGTTTATTGATTATTAGTGAATGATAAGAGCCATTTGATATCTTGCAAGATGCCTTGCTCCCATTGCCTTGCAGTTAAAATGTCAGTTAACATGCCATTTAATATTCTATTAGTATTGAATTAGCACTTATTACACTGTGAAAATCATCACCATAAATCCTTATTAAAGCATGATCCATAAGGTTGGGTGGCATCTCTGGCAGAGTAGGAGGGTGCGTGTGTGCAGACTGACATGCTGGGAAACCTGAGTGCATGTTTGGAGCATGCCTGGGCTTGGAGTTTCCACACTCGTACACTGATTTTCTGTGGCAGTTTCAGAGGCGCAGGTATGCCCAGATGAGTAGTTCAGACCCAGTTTGCTTGCTCGTCCAGTTTTTCTCCATGCCTTTTCTTTCCCTCTCTCTCTCACGTTATTTTGGTTGTACCACTGGCCTAGGGATAACCCTGGGCAAAAGCAGCACACAACACGTTATGACACAGTTTTTGTTTTCTGTAGTGTCTCTCCTCCTCCTGTCAGTCACTGAGGGCCCCTGAGTGAGCATTCTGAAGGGGTATCTTTGCACCTCATTAAAGAGCATGGCGCAGAAATGCCTCCAGGCAGAGTAGATGGTACATATAGTGCAAGTCCAAAAAGCAGCATGACTGGGTTGGTGCTGTGCTGGCTCTGTTGTACTCTGCTCGTTCAGATAGGTGTGTTGCGGGTTTGGAAGTGGCTGAGAAACTTCAACACCCACTGAGTTCAGCTGCAGCTGTTAATCTGCTTAGTTTCTCAATGCCATCCCCCTTGGGATCTTCACAAATCCAAAATGTGCACAGAAGAATTTGGAATACCTTTCAGAAAGATTGAACCTTAGTCTGGGGTCTTTTGGGCTGCTCTCTAAAGCAAATGTTTGTCAAATCAGGCTTGCTTCCAGCCTGGCCAGCAGCTTGGTGAGCCTCTCAGCTACTCCCACACAGCCTGGCTTTCCCCCTACACCCAGGTAACTCAGTACAACCCAGAGTGCATCCACAGAGCAGGGGAGTGGGAGGTGCTGGCCGTATGGTGGGGTCACGTCACACAGGACACATCTGTGGCATGGCCTGAATGAAATGCATTCAACCAGAGGAACTTGGAAAATGTCTGACCCGTTCTAAGAGGCTGTGTGAAAGCCTCCTAGCCTACTGTCAAATGTTTGTCTTATCATGAAGTGATAATCTTTATCCTCTCTTTTCTTGCTCAAAGGCAACACATGCCTGAATAGCGCCGGGGAGAGGTGCTAGATTATTTGGATGCCAGGAGGCTGTGAGCAGAGCTCTGAGCAATGGAAGAGCGAAAGCTCTGGAGACTGAGCTGCTCTGTCCTACAGGCTGCTGACAGACAGGCTCTCTCAGCCTATGTGAGCCTGGCTCTGATGGGTACAGCTGCCAAGAGAGAGAGAAGTTGAGTCCCCCTTGTCTTCTTCAGCTGTCAGCTTAATACCACAGCTTCTTCTCCTTGTGCTGCTGAAACTGCGGGCTGGAGAAGCTGTGTGCTGAGCTGACAAAGCTGAAGCCCTGAACCTTTGCCCTCTAGACTGGCAGGGGGCTGGGAATGCAACTCCTCTTGTGTGCTTAACTTCTGAAGGTGAGCTGGGAGCATGTGAAGGACTCCTGACCTTTCCTACTGGCAGTTAGAAGGGATCTGGTGACTGGGATCTCTTGTTGCCTTCCAAAGTCATTTATTGTGCGTTTGTAGGCCACAGACAACAGGAAGTGAGACCAGGAGCTGTGGCCACCCCAAATCTCAAATGTTCATGAAGCCTTTCCAAAAATCCTTGTGAAAGAATCGGGCTTTGGGCCATGGTGATGAGGAGCTGCTGTACTAGCAGGATTGTACTAACTAGTACCTGAGCAATGTAGTAGTGGGAAGGGACAAAATGGAGATGCTTGTTAATCTCTCTCTCACCTTTCTCACCATCTTCAGGTGTTATGTAGAAGACAGAAGCTCCAAGGTGGCCTGGTTAAACCGTTCTGGCATCATTTTTGCTGGAGAGGACAAGTGGTCCCTGGACCCTCGAGTAGAGCTTGAGAAGAGAAACCCCCTGGAGTACAGCCTGCGGATCCAGAAAGTGGATGTCTATGATGAGGGGTCCTATACGTGTTCAGTGCAGACACAGCATCACCCCAAGACTTCCCAGGTTTACTTGATTGTGCAAGGTAAGCAACATGCCTGAGAAGCAAGCAAAGAGAGACAAACATGGCAGGTGGAAGGATCTGTGTCCTTCTTAGGGAAACCACAGAGCCAGTAGGCTGTGGACCTTGCAATAGCAGCCAGGAGTGAGCAATTCCTTTGGTTTACAGCAGGAGCCAGCAGGGCTTCTCCTTCCTCTGTGGCATGGCGGCTTTGCTCTGACATCAGTCTGTCCGTTCCAAAGCAGTGACAGAGTAGGGAATATCAGTGATGCCAAGGCATATTCTAGATACAAACCTGGCTCTTGGCTCTGGTCCTTCTGGCTCTGAGGGGAAAGCATTTGTTTATGATGCCACTTGTTGGGATGAGGTGCTTGTCTTGTGTCTTCCCAGATAGCCTTCTTGTTTCTTCATCGTCTCTGTCCTCAGATTTTCTTTCTTTTTTTCTTACATCAGCAAGAATGTTGTGCTTTTTGGCTTTCTGTTGTCAGCCTCTTGCAAGGCTGGGGAATTAATTTTCCTGGATGTTTTTCTGTGCAGGGTCACTGGTTTGCAGGGTGCACTGTCTCTAGGCATGTGTGAAACCTGGTACCTGTGGTAGCAGCCGCCTACCTTATGTTATGTACTCCATTTTTAGCTGCCCTCCTCCTGCGTATGTCACAGGGAACTGGAAACTTGGCAATCTGAAGCAGCATTGCCCTGTCTGCCTGCCTGCATGCTTGGTATAATAGAGAGTAAACACATCAAGGAGGTCACCAATTACTGGTAAGGGCACTATGGAGTTTGCTTGTTCCATCCTGCCTAGACCAGAATAGCAAACAAAACAGTTGACTTTTTTTTTTTTTTTTAATCTTCCTGCAATTCTGTCTATCTGCCTATTTATCTAAAATATTTATAGATTAGCTTAAATAGATAGATACGTATGGCTGTGTTTAATACGTACTGCAGCAACATTCAGCTTCTTTGTTATCAGTCAGATAGGAATTTGTTGTCTCTTCGGATCTGTCTAGCAAACAAAAATGCTCCAAATTTCATTTCTCGCAGCTAATGTTTGGATTATTCTGTGTATAAATACATGTACAAATGGACTCTCCTCTTGCTATTACTTGGCCAGCTCAGGGCTAACTAGCATGTTGAGTGTTCATCAGCAAGACAAAGTCGGGCTGTGTGGTCAGGGGTGATGCCTTACATGTGAGTGCAGTAAAAATGAAGTTCCCAATCTGTCTTGTGCAAAATCCCCCTTCAGCAGCATGAGGAGTTATGTGCACCAGCACTCAGAGCAGGTCTTCTGGACTGTTTGAGAGTTTGAGGGAATGCAGCCAGCATGAAACGCACTCACAGAGCCCTGGAGGTGTACCCAGCCTTGCTGCAACTGTGCAGGTAGTTTACTTCTGGTAAAGTCTGACCGCATGCGGTTTTCATTTACCTGTCCAGAAAAAAATTGGTATGAATGAATTTTAGAGCCATGCACATGTATTATTAATTTTATTTGTGCCCATTAGATACAAGTGTAAGCAGCAGAATTGAGTTCTCCAGCTGAGCTTTCAATTAAATGTGTGGGTGTCCAGCTCTGAGCTACTGCCACCTTTCTGAGGATGAGAGAATTCAGGTACTGGCACACTCAAACATGCCTCAAAGCAGTGTCTGTGGATAATCTTTGCTTAACATGTTCCATGAATTTACCAAAAGACCCACTGCAACATCATGCTTACTTCTTAAGCCTCAGGTCCCAGAATTCTGTAATTAGATGAAACTCACAGCTTCAATTTTTCTAAAATTAAATATGATTTGTTATGATTGTTGAAAGAAAAATAAAAAAAGAGAAATATAAATACAAATTCCTTTACAATTTGGAGGAATTAGGCTTATTTTAAACCATATTTTTATTAGTTTAAAACTAATGAATAATTCATTTTAAATAATCTTAACTAATAAAACTAATTTATTAGAAACTGGTATACACTGCAAAATATCCCTTTTCTCTCACTGTATCATTTTCTCATATTGATTATTATTATTATTCCCATATGTGCAGTTTGCCAGCCTGAAAAATAGTCTGTCACTAGTGCAAATGAGAGGAATTTGGATATTGAGTTGTGTGCTAAGCTTTTTAGGTTTCTTATTTAATATAATTTATTTCTTTCTCATGCTTTTGTGTAATAAAATTAAAAGCGTGGACTAGAGAAAGCAGCAGGCATCCTAAACTGAAAAGTAAATAAATGTTTTCAGGAGGACACAGCTCCTGAAAAATTAAATAACAGGGTTGTTAGTTGATTGATGTGCTGGTCTGGCAGGAGGATGCCTGGGCTGACCATCAAAAGTTCTTTCTGAGCAATCAGGCTGGTGCTGCCCACACTTGCCACCAGACATCCTGCAGTGTCTGCTGATGGACATCAGCTGTGCTCATGCCCTTTCTCTTGCTCAGTTAGTGATGTCCCAGGTCTCTGCTCCCCTGCACTGGGTACCAGAGGCAGGGCCTTAATCTCTCATTTTTCTGCAACCTCATCTAGATGGTCACTGTGAAAGTCCAGCCCCCTCACGCCAAGAAACAGATGAGCTGGCTATACCAGAGACTAACAAGTAGGTAGGTACAGGATAGGTGCAGTATAAATAAGGAAGGCCACTTCCATAACTGCAGTGCCAGCTGAAAGAGATGGGTTTTGATGTTTCCTAAGAATTGGCTGTATTTACATCATCACAGCTTAATGGAGTTTCATTTCCACTCTTCAGAAAATCATGGAATCATAGAATATAAGATTATCCAGCATTCTTTATTACTCTTTCCCCTTTTTCAAACTCTAAGACTGCTCTACTTGGAGATGTAGACATCCACTGCTCAAAGATTGCTGAGTATAACCATTGGCTGGCTCTTCTGTCTTTCTGACTCAGATAGCCAACACTGTTGCCAAAGTGGGGTGAGCTGGAGGCAGCTGTCTCTGCCCAGCTCAGTCACAAACAAGTGCTGGTATTGTGCCCTTCACATTGAGGTGAAGACATGAAAAGGCAGCTATAACCCACCAGCATTTTATGCTGTCACACTGTTGGTGTAGTGGCAATTAGAGACTTTCATTTGCTACTCTGCATATTTCTTTTTGCCTTTGATCAGAGATGCAAAGACCTGGAAGGGCCCATAAGAGGCAGTATGCTCCCTTCCTATGCACTAGAGACAAGATCAGATAGATGTTGGTTGCTTCCAACATGTGTTTTTTGAAGAGACCTCATGCACCAAAAGCCATGTATGGCCATTATCTCATACTTGTTGTGCTTGGAAAGCTTTTAGTAAGATGTGATCCAAACTGTTTTTGTTGCCAAATATTTATGATCCTTCCCCAACAGATGATGGTAATTTATCCTCCTCTTACTCAAAACTACCTTTCACCTGCCCATTAAACCCTATGTCTTAGACACCTGCAATCAAGCCTAACTGGCTGCTTTCTCACAAGTTGTATTTTCCATCCCTTACATTGTGCTTTTTTCACTACTGTACAATTTGGTAACACTTTTCCTGAAATATATTGTCCAGAACCTAAGCAAAAGTTCTAGTTTAGGACTCATTTGTGCAGGTGAAAGGTAAATAAATGACAGTATATTTTGCATATCATGCTTCACTTAACTGACCTTAGAATGAGATGAAATTCACCTTTTATTTATAAGAATACCTCATTGCTTTCTCTTATTAATTCCTGCAGCTCTCAGGTAGTGGCTTGCTGCATGTTGTGACTTGATGCACATTCTCCATTTCTACAGCTGAGCATTAATTGTGATTTCCCCCTTCCTGAGCAAAGCACTGGTGCTTGCTGCTGTTGCTTTCCATCCAGTTGATTTCTCAATGGAGATGGGCTCAGTGGAGAACATGCTTGTACTGGCCCTTATCTTGGCTTCCTCATTGAAAGTCAGGTGCCTTCTTTCTACTGCATCCCAAAGGCGTTAAGTGAAGCATTAAAAAGATCAGGGCACAAAGAAGTCCGTGGTAACAACTCACAAAACCTCCCTCCCCGCAGATAGCTGTCTGTTGTTCACAGCTCTTTGAAGCATCCTGATGGTGATTTAACATCTGCCATATTTTCTTAGCTTGTTCAGGAGGCTGTCAGGCCTGCTCAAGTCAAGATATATCACGCACTGCTCCCTCTTTATCCACTATGCCCGTTATCCTATAAAAAAAGGGGTGACAAGATATATGTTTGCCAAAAGTGCATTGGTTATTTTTTCCTTTACTGTATTATTATCCTCTAGGTGTTTATAAAGGAAATGTTTAATTGTTTGTTCCAGTACGCTCAGTAACTTGTTCTAGAAGAACAAGTCATAAAGGGAACCTGGTGGCTGCCCCTCTCTAAGCTCTGTCTTGGGCTCTTTTAGGGCTGTAGCCTCAGGCCCTTTTCAGACATAAATAAATGCCAGAGGATAAATCCCAATAGTCCTCACTTAGCAGGGTCACAGGCACAGAGACACAGAGATATTAGCAGGCATGGGGCTTAAAACTTTTGGCACTATTAAAACTGTCCAGCTCAAGCTAAATTACTGTCAGGTAGGAGCAGGCAGATAGTTGCTGGTTTTGCTGTCAAGAGGCTTTACACCACGGCATCGCTGTGAATGGAGACGGCCGGGAACTCTTCAGTGGGACAAAAACATTTGACTGGTTTTGGCTTTGATTAAAATTTCATCAGGAAGGTTTTAGAGGTGTTAGGTTCCTTTTGTGGTCAAAACTGGGAAGAGGAAAAAAATACAGAATTACCGTAACTTATCTAAAAGCTAATGGTTGTATTTGGAGTATGGAGAACTCACGCTTGCCTTTTTGCTCAGACTGTGGGACTCTTGCAGCCTCTAACATTTCTTGTGATTCCCAGTTATTGGCAGTTCAAAGGATGTGCGCTCTCCCTTGTTTAGATGTTTATTTTATGACAGAAATTCAAAAGAGCTTTGTCATTTTGGCAGAACAAAAACAAACTTGGAAGCATCAGCAGCAAGTTCTCGTGAAGAGGAATTCTTGTTTTCTGCCCAGCCCTAATCACAAACTCGAAATCAATGTG